CCAGCGAATCACCGAGGCCGCCTGCCGCGAGCAGAGCTGGGCTGGATGCAGGCCGCTGGGGCCCGGGGAGGACAAGGCGGCCCTGCCGGGCGGAAGGACAGGCTCGCTCGCGGCCAACTCTGCCCTGGCCAGCAGCGCGCAGGTCGCAAGGAAAAACTCAAACCCAGTAGTTGGGGACGGGCATCAGGAAGCCTCAAAGGCCCCTTATGGATGGGGCGCAGGGGAGCTGAGGAGCAGGGGGTGAAAGCAGCAGATGCCCCACTTCAGAAAAAACTTACAACATATAAAGCTGGGACCAGAGCTACTCTTGGTGGCGAATTTTAACGAACAATTTGGTCTCGGATGTGTAGGGGCCTGGAGGCTGCACAGATAATTTTAAGACCCCAAAGGCCTTGGGCAAAGAAAACTTGGGCGGGGTGGGTGGTGAGAAACACGAAGTACGTTTTTTCTTCCGTTGTTTTAGCCTTTCAAAATTTTGATCTCAGTAAAAACAAAAGGTTTTTGGTGGTGGCGAGTGGGAGGGGGGGTGGGGAGGGGGCAGGGGAAGGAAAAGCAACCAGTTCAGTGCAGGAGTGAAGCTCGAAATGAAAAGACAATGGAGATACTGGTGTGTGTATGTCAGGGAAGGGGGGGCTGCTTCTGAGGAAGGGGGTCGTTTTTAATCCCGAGGTGCAGGAGCGAGGACGCAGCCCCTCACGTATTCTAACACACACTGCGAAAGGAAGAGGGCAGCCCCAAATGAAATGGGGCGCAATGACTGAGCTACCAGCAAAGGAAATCGCACCCAATAATAGGACCCAATCTGAGAAAAAAAAAAAAAAAGGGTGGGGGCGGAGAGGGCGGGTGGAGGGAGTTGTTAACTGGGGCCGCACAATGGAATTAATGAGATTACCCTGGGTAATTAGGCCGCCCGCCCACTTTGGCCCGCTGGCTGCTGGGCCGCAGAATGGAAAAGATTAGGTTAATTTCATTAATTTGCAATCCACAATCTCTTTTCAGGCCACAGAACCCCCTCCTCTTTAGCACTTCTACCCTGCCGCCCGCTCTAAGCGCCCCCCCCTCCAGTTCCCACCAACACCCCACCCCACCCCGCCCCCCCCTCCAAAGAAAAGAAAGGGCCAAATCGGGCTCTGTTTGTCATCTGCCTATTACCAGGAACTAAATCCAGGATGACGTCGACTCCGTATAAAACCAACTAGAGGTTGAACAGCCCGAGCGCCGTCCTCCCGCGGGTTGAGCTGGGCGCGGGGCGGGCGGAGCAGGCGCGCGGGCGCAGGGGGCGGGGAGGGGCGCGCACAGAGTCTTCGCCGGCTGCGTCTCTTTCGCTTTGGTCCGCGACGGGAGGAGCAGGAGCCCCCCAGCCCCCACCACACTCGGAGACTCGCTCTTCCGCGCGTCCTCGCCGCCCCCGGTCCCAGCGCGGGGCTCGGGGATGCCCGCCAGCATGTTCAGCATCGACAACATCCTGGCCGCCCGGCCGCGCGGCAAGGACTCGGTGCTGCCAGTGGCGCCCAGCGCGGCGGCGCCCGTCGTCTTCCCGGCCCTGCACGGAGACGCGCTCTATGGCACGGGCGGCAGCGCCTCTTCGGACTATGGCGCCTTCTACCCGCGCCCCGTGGCCCCCAGCGGCGCGGGCCTGTCGGCCGCGGTCGGCGGCTCCCGCCTGGGCTACAACTACTATTACGGGCAGCTGCACGTGCAGGCGGCGCCCGTGGGCCCGGCCTGCTGCGGAGCCGTGCCGCCGCTGGGCGCCCAGCAGTGCTCCTGCGTCCCGACACCCCCAGGTAAGGTCCGGTCCAGCTCGTGGCCCCTGAGCGAGGAGGGAAAGGGGCGGGGGCGGCCCTGACTTGATTTACACTTTGCACAAACTTGAGTCCCCTTGCAAATCTGCCGCCGCCTCCCACTTTCATTTTTGCCTGGAGCGGGAGTTTGCTTGCTTCTTGGAAAACTTTGGGCGAGAGTTAGCGAAGTTGCTACTCAGTGCTTGCATGGGGAGACCAGGCTTTTAGGATTCCCGAGTGGAACTCCATCCCGCACCCCTGTTCCCTAGACACTCCCTTCCCCTTGTTTTGCTGTGTTTTACATCGGGGCTGGTCTGGGGCGGGCGGCTGGGGCTGGGCGCGCTGAGCCCCGGGCGAGGCTGGCTGACGGCGTCCTACTCCGCCGCAGGCTACGAGGGCCCGGGCTCCGTGCTGGTGTCCCCGGTGCCGCACCAGATGCTCCCCTACATGAACGTGGGCACGCTGTCGCGCACCGAGCTGCAGCTCCTCAACCAGCTGCACTGTCGGCGGAAGCGGCGGCACCGCACCATCTTTACGGATGAGCAGCTTGAAGCGCTGGAGAACCTTTTCCAGGAGACCAAGTACCCCGACGTGGGCACGCGCGAGCAGCTGGCCCGGAAGGTGCACCTCCGCGAGGAGAAGGTGGAGGTGAGCGCGCCCACTCGCCCCTCTCGCGGACCCAGCCCGGGGCTCGCTGCGCCGCACACCACAGCCCACAGGCCGGGCGCGCGCGTGCGTTTAGGCCCAGGAAGTTGGGGGTGGGGGTCTCCCAGCGGGAACGGGGGTCTCCGCCTGTTCTTGGTGGGCTCACGGCGGGGTTGGGGGCGTGTAGGAGGGTGGTGAATCTGAATTCTCCCTGGGCTGCCCTGTGGCCACGCTTTATTCCCGGGATGGCGAGGTTTGGGGGGGATGAGCGAATTTGAGTCTAATCGTTGTATTGCCCGCCGTTGCGCAACAGGTCTGGTTTAAGAACCGCCGGGCCAAATGGAGGCGGCAGAAACGGTCGTCGTCATCCGAGTCGGAAAACGCCGAGAAGTGGAACAAGGCGTCGTCCAAGGCGTCGCCGGCGAAGATGGAAGAAGGTAAAAGCGACTTGGACTCGGACAGCTGACAGCCGTGGGCCGGCGGTGCCCGAGGCTGACTCGAAGGACTTGCACAGACGGACGATGCTACTTTCTTGCACACGCGCGGCCTTGCGGGGAGGGGATTGAGAGAAAGAAACGGCGTGTAAATAGTGTACAGACCGCGAGGGTCCGCGCCCCTCCAGCCAGGCCGGCGGCGCCGCGCTCCACACCGTAGTATTTATAGTTAAGTTAACTAACGGTGACCATACAATAAAGTGATGACGATTAGTTGGGCCACATGCTGTATTTCGTCGCCGCTCCTGCTCGCGCCTCTCATCAGCCTCGGGCCCAGGAAAAAGACTAGCTTTGGAAGGGAAATGGGGCAACTCTGATCTCTACCCCCAAATTGACATTCGGTGTAAAAAAGGCACCGACTGGCCAAACCCAAACTGATTGCAGTTGAGCGAATTCGGAGTCCTAGCGACCCCATAGGGCAGCGTAGAACTGCCCCTGTGGGTTTTGTAGACTCACTCTTTACAGGAGTTGAAGGCTTGACCTTTCCCCCCCTGAGCTGCTGCTGGTTTCCAACCGCTGACCTTGTGCTTAGCAGCCAAGGAGTAATCACCGCACCACCTGGTTGACAAGTAAATTTTGCCCTGGGGTGGGGAGTGGCATTGCTGGACCCAGAGCAAAACAAAAATTCTTCTCTATGGGAGCCCAGGAGCTAAAGCATCCTGAGGTTGGGGACTTTCTGGGCAGCCCACTATAGGATGCTCCAAGACTTGGAAACCCTCGGCTTAAGGAGGCAAGCCCCTCAGGCAGACTTAAGTTAGCTGGCTGGCATACCCCCTCCTGGGCCATGCTTTCTGGGTATTTGCCTGCCCCTCTCCCTCTGGGGTGCTTGAAGCTGAGCACTATGGCCCTTGGGGATCTTCCCACTGGTCTCAGTTCAGCACCAGCAGGGCCGTGGGAGGAGGCACCCCAGGAGTGGGGGGTTTGCGAGCCAACAGTTTCCAAAAGGGCTGGAGAAAGCCTCCTGGTGCCAGGATCATCGGCCAAAGAGGGTGCCATGGGCAAGGGTGGAGGCTGAGGAGCAGCCTGATAGGGCTTTGGGTGCCTGAACATTCCCTGTGATTTTTGCACCCAGTCCACTCCACTCCACTCCACAGTAGAGAAGGTAAAACTAACTGATCGCTCTTCCTGGGATGCTTGCTGTCAGAGGGAGCAGGTGATCTGGCTTTTCCTTAGCAGCCAGCCCTGAAAACCGCAGCCTGAGTTTGTTACGAAAACAATTAGTTTACACAGCAGTCCCGTTGAAGCTTTGCAAAGGGCAGCTCAAGTGCTCCCCTCTCAGCGGTGAAATGGTTCTTTGGAAATACCAAGTGACCACTGGTGAGGGCCTCTTCAAATGAGAAGCAGCTTTGGAGTAAGGAGGTGGGGGGCTGCAGGGCAGGAGTAGAGGAGTGGTCCCCTTCCAGCTAGCTTTGTTCTGGCTTCAACATGCTGTCAACGGGCAAGTTAGTTCACCTCTCTAACCCTCATCTCCTGGGTTTGCAAAACAGGGATGGTGACAGGGGTGTTGTGCATGTTTAAAGGGAGCAATTGATGAAGGTTGGTCCCCGGCTTAGAGGATTCCTGCAACTTAAGAATCCAACCACATGATTTTCACATAAGCAGTGGCTGTCGTGGTGGGTTCAAATCGACGATGGCGAGGAAGGCCCAGGACCTTCCGTTGAATGTAAGGGTCACTCAGTCGGAGCCAACTCGAGGGCACCGAACATTATTTCTTAGGGTCCACGCTTTGCCAGACCAGTACTACCAGGTGTTTGTGTCTGGCCTCATTCTGCTTTAATTGAAGGCCTCCCTAAGAGACGGAGATGGAAGAGGAAATGGAGGCTCAGCTGCGATGGTTAATAGTTTAAAACCGCATGCAGCTGCTCAGAGACAAAATAGCTCACGTCTTCCCAGGTGACGCGTCTATTCCAGCAGGGTTGGGACTGTATTTAAAATGAAACCATTTGGATGCATACACGGCCCCTCCCCGTTAGAAATAAGACGAGGCCTGCTCCCATGTCCTCACTCTCCCTCGGTCATTGTTGGAGCCCCGGGATGGTTGTCCTGTTGGAGTGGGATAAGTGAACCTGTGGGGGAGTCCAGGATGAGCCCTGGGCTTTCCATGCCTCTCCCAGGATCCTGGTTTTTTCCAGAACCACTCTAACACAGGACAGGAGCAGACAGCAACATTCCATCCTGAGAGATGACCTCTGTAAAGGGCTCTCGGGTTGTGCCTGCTTTGGCCTCAGTCTAGCTTTATGGGGTGTGTGTGGGGGAAGACCTTTAGTTCCTGGTATGTGAGGAATGGAGGGGTTCTTACCCTCTGAGCACTTGATGCAGATCCACTCTGAATGGGGTATGCCAGGGTGGGGGGGCAGGGGTTTGGGGCCCAGCAGTCCCACTCCTGCCATGTTCTCAAGAAGCAGGTATCTTAAGTGAGACAGACATGTCGGGGTGGCCTGTCACCTAGTCTTCTGCGTTCCCAGCCAGCTGTGAGGTATGGGGGGGGGGGGGGACTCACCCTGAGTGAAACCTGCCTGAGCTGGGAGGACTTGGGGGGTGGGTCACCAAGAAGGTTGGCCTTGCTGGTCATTGGGAATTGGCATTGCCATGTTGGCAAGTCTGGTGCCCGCATGTTCCAATCTGGTGCACCAGATAAGCCCAAGTGGCAAGGCCCCGGGACCCGATCCACATGCGCAAGCTGATGGGAGCTGGGGGTGAGCCCAGACTTTCCCTTTGGGTGGTTCTAGAGCCCTGCATACAAGGTCCCCAACTGCAGGTCATGGGGGGTTAGGGACGGGGTGTGTGAGGTTCAGGAATGAAGCTGCCACAGGGTGCCAGACTGACTCTGGCAGAAAAGCCCCCCTGCTAATCAGAACCCCTAACAATAGTCTAGCCCTGCCCCAAGCCTTTCCACACATCTTGGGCCCTGGGGTAGGTGGGGGCAGGGTGTGTAGCCCCAGGGGTGCTGGGGGCTCAGAAGACAAGGTTTTCCAAGGACACAGGAAGCAAGTGGCGTGGCGGCAGAGCAGGCCCTGCCCCCGCCCCCAGAGCTGAGGGGGCCCTTCCACAGCCCTCTCAGGGTGGAGGTGAGCTGAGAGTAACAACTTCCAGGTGCCGGGGCTGGAGGCAGCGGTGAGTGAGGGGAGGGGCAGAGGTGTGTGGCGAAAAGCAGCCTCTCAGGTGCTGCGGAGCTCAGAGGTCAGTGCATGCCGGCTGTCCTACAAGGCGAGCTGTGCTTGGAGAGCGAGACTGGTAACACGGCAGCCACACTGCATTTCGGTGCACTCGCATGGAGCTGCATTTTACTTTTGAATGAAGCACAATATCCTCATCTTTTTGACAGACACTGAAGCTGGGGCTCCTGTCTCCTGTGTGGGAGGGGCTGAGTGGGGCAGAGAGCTTTTCCCCCCTGAATTATATGAGATTCTTAATCCACTCAATTAAGGCACCGAGACTCTCCCCATACACCCAAAGATTCCGAAACCAGAAATCAAACATGGTGTGTGTGTGTGTGTGTGTGCGTGCGCGCGCGCGCGCGCTGTCATCAAATTGGTCCTGACTCACAAGGAGCCTGTGGGACAGAGTTGAATTGCTCCTTCGAGTTTCTGAGCTGGTGAATCATGGGAGCAGACGGTCCATCTTGCTCCCAAACAGTGGCTGGTGGGTTTGAACTGCCGACCTTAGAGTTGGCAGGCCAGTGCTTAACCCACTGGGGCAACCAGGGCTCCTTTCTGGAACTGAGCCCACCCACTGCTATTGTGTCATTTCCAACCTGCAGCGACCCCCTTGTATTGAGTTGCAGAGACTCTACATCGTTACAAGAGTACACAGCCTCATCGTTCTCCCTCAGAGTGGCTGGTGGGCTGGACCCCCACCCGTGGGACTTTGGAAGTTAGCAGACCCACTCTCAACTCACTGTACTGCCAGGGTCCTTTTCTATTGAGGGCACCCCCCCAAAAAAAATTCCCTGTCCCCGCATCAGTGATGAGGGACGCTGGGTGCAAATCTGCACGGTGCGGCAAATAGAACTCTTGTCACAGCAAGTCAGGCACAGGTCATGTCTGGCCTTTAGCCCCCCCCCCTCCCCCGCCGCCTGGGCCATTCCCTGCCCCCTTGCTGCCCCCTCACACACACACTGAGTGACCTGAGCCAGGTAGCATCAGCTCCAGTGGATCAGGTTCCTCCCTCACCTCTGGAAAGGCTGGGTGGAGGATTGGAATATAGTAAAAGCCCCATCGGAGAGTCTGACACATTCATTACTGTGGGCTTTTGAAAAGCACCCCAGATAATGCCCTCAGTAAGCAGGTTGGAATTAGGAATTAAGGAATGCTCCCTGCTTTTAATGGTGGTTGGTTTAGGAGCTTAGGCCTGGCCATGGTGTACACACAGGGTCAAGGCCGTGTGAAAGAAAAGTGACAACTTGGGGTGGGGCTGGGGGGGCCTTCCAGGCCAGGAAGCATCTGATAAGGCTTAATAAGCCAAATTCTCCGGAGAGATTTGACAACGGGGAGATTGCAGGGCGAAGACGGAGACAATGGGGACTGGATTTGGATTTGATTTCCAAGTTTACCGAAGCGACCTTGGGGCTTTGCAGAAGTCAACGAAAACGAAACCCAGCAGCCGCTGCGGAGACCGTGGAAGGGTCTGGACGGAATGGATCCAGGTGGGCCTTTGGCTCCCGAGGCCTCTCACTTATTGCAGGGGGAGAAGTGGGGTGGGGGAACCCCCAAGGCTGATCCCTAGAGCGATGTGGGGACGTGGATGGCCCTGGAATGGCGTGGCTTAGTTTGAACTGCAAGAAAAATAAAACTGCCATTGTCCTGGCCATCCTGGTGACCCACGGGGACAGAGGGGAAGATGGCCTGTTGTGGGATTTTCTGAGTGTGTGTGCAGACGCCATAGGTTTGGGATCCAACATTCTGCCTGGCCTATGAGTGTTCGGTCCCCGGAGCATTCATGGAGAAAAGTTAATTCCGCTCGCATCTCCTCCCCGCGCCTCGGGAATTCTTTTCCACTTGTATTCCTTCTGTTTTCCTAATTGCGAGCTTCTCCGGCGTCTGTGGACTAAATCAAGTGTCGGGGTTTAATAGAATAAACTGCATTTCTTGGTGTGCACACTGCACAGCCCCCCCCCCTGCCCCAAGCCCCTCAACCTGAACTGATTTCCAGACCTATAATTAGTGAGTTAATTTTAGCTGCCATGGACAGAGTTCAGAGGGCTGGCCCCAGGC